ATGTGCAGCCCTCTATATACCTGAACTCCCCAAATCATCATCCAGGTTTGGCCTCGCAAGGCACAGCCACATTAAATATAGACAATAAAGTAACCCATAAATACTATTTAGTTCGGTGAACAGCCAGAACCGATGAACGCCTCGAAATGTGGCCAACCGGACAATACCAGCGACAGGCATATATGTGCGATACCTCCGCCCCATCAATATGTACACCACCTACTTGTTGGCCAAATCTCTCTGCTTTCAGGCCTTCCCAGCTTCTCTCACTGAGCGCATCCAACGGTCTTCAGCACCTTGACCTCCGACGATGCGTTGCTGCTTGTTCTTCTCGTCCTCTTCTCCGTCGGAGCGATCCAGCACCAATTTCACCTCAGTGATAGTCTTGGCACCAAGGAGAGTCATCTCTTTCTCCGCCAAAAGGGCCACACCGGCTCTTACAAGTACTGCGTCGCCTTCGAAGACATACACATCCCATAGTCTTGCAGCTTCGTCTAGAGCCAGCTGACCAGTGAAGAGGGAGGTGAAGATGTCTGCAAGATATGCGTCGGGGTCGTGATCTGGTAGGCTGACAAGATGGCCATGTAAGCCTGCAGATTTGTGGGACAGGGTCTGCAAAAGAAGGTTGTAGGCGGACGACTTGGCGCCCGGATCAGAAGCGTAGAAACTGAGCGGGAGTGGACGGTTGAGAATATTCGCAAGGGCTATGAAAGCGGCAGGCGGGCTCGAGAGGTTCAGGAGCAAAAGCGCAGCAATTGTCTAGTTTTGCGTTAGCATCGAAACAAGCACGCCCATGAACTATCCAACTCACATTACAGCCAGTGACATAGCCGATATCACTGCGGTACATTGCATACGCCGAGAGAACATCTACCAGGCCTTGGCTAAGAGGCCCCCCTTTTTGAAATATGCGTAGATCCCGCCACGTCTTCTCTTCCACTTCTTGTCGGATCATGTCAAACCATGCCACATGTTTCTGATCCTCGACTGTGCCGTTTCCGGCTGCAACTCGCGCAGTAGATTCCCGAGATCTTGACAAGGCAGCTTTGTACGAAGTCTCGCTTAGACCAAGCTCGTTCCCAATCGCCTTTGACCAAACAACACCTCGGCTGCGTGGAGCGATGCCGCGCCACCAAAGCTCGCGCGTCCGTTTCTCGCGTATGGCATCATTCCATCGAGGAACTATGTCATTCTCCCAGATGTGCATTATGCTGTCTGCAGCAACATCCCGGCACTGCGACATGGCCCGCTTGGCGGCCTCTCTACGCCGGTCAGCCTCTGCACTCTGAGCCATCATCTTCTGATACTCGCGGAGATGTCGGCGTTCTTCGGCTGGATCCTTTGGCGGGAGCCAAGACGGTCGAGTCCGCGACAAGACAGCCTCCTTTTCTTTGGAGATGGGCAAGGGATCAATCATGATGTTGGTTCGACGTAGAGGAGGCAGTTCTGGAAGAGCCGATTTGTGTCGCGGTTTTGAGTCGTAGTGTTCAGAGGATCGGCGGACGACAGGCATGGAGCCCGTGCTGGAGCGCTGCGCCTTGTGGTCTATCTCATCGGCGTGTTCTTCGAGCTTTTCAGTGAGCTCCTTGGCCTCAGCGCTCAGGTCTGCCAGTGCTGCTGTCCAGCTTTTGGCGCGTGTTTTGATGGGGCTTGGGGCACCACTCGAATGGGCCGACTTGGC